CGAGTTCATAGGTATATATATATTTACTGCACGAACTAAGCAAAATAATAGATAGAAATAATACAAAAATGATGACCAAATAAGTTGCATCAGCAAGGCGCAAGCCTTTATCACACTAAAAGACCACAAAGAAAATTTAAAAATCAAACCTGCACGCAGACTCATAAACCCAGCCAAAAGCGAGCAAGGTAAAACGATACTAGAAAGAATTAATTCTGAACTTATGAAGAAGTTAGGAGTAAACCAGTGAAAAACACAAAATCAATTATCGATTAGTTCCACAGCATAAACAACAAACAAAATTGCCAATTCCTACAATTAGACATTTTGCCCGTCCATAACAGAACCCATGCTAGATAAGGCTATCAACTTAGCTCAGGAACATATAATATTAAAATCAAACGAACTCGACATCATTAAACAGTCACGTAAATCATTATTATTTCACAATGAAGATGCATGGATAAAGAAAAATGGGATCTTTGACATTACAATGGGAAGCTTTGACGGTGCTGGGACCTGCGAAAACATAGGTATATTCTTACTACACGAACTAAGCAAAATAATATATAGAAATGATAGAAGACTATACAGGGACGATGGTCTCATAATCTTAAGTAACTATAACAAACAAAATAGAGACAAAACTAGAAAAGCAATAATAAAGATTTTCAAATATAACTGATTCGACATAGACATAAAAACTAACCTAAACTAAGTACATTTTTAGACGTCACCTACAATATAAGAAAAGGTACATATAAACTATGCAGAATGCCCAATGACAAACCACTGTATATACCAAAATCAGTTAACCGCAGGCTTTTCGACAATTCTACCAATGAAACCAAATTCAACGAAGCTAAGAAAGACGATGGAACAACCTTAAAAGATAGTGGATTTCCGACAACACTGACATCCACACCACACCACAGAGGACAAAAAGAACCAACAGGAAGAGAAACCTCATATGGTTCAACCCACCGTAAAGCAAAAACGTAAAAACAAATGTAGGAAAATAGTCATCAAACTCTTACACAAATACTTCCCAGAATCAAGCACTCTCCACAAAATATTCAACAAAAACGCAGAAAAAATCAGCTACAGTTGCACTGAGAAGATGACACAAATAATAATAAAAAAAAAAAACGTGACAGGATACTATCAACAAACCACACGAACCAATTAAACCCACGTGTAACTGCAGAATAAACTAACGAATGTCGCTTTAACGGTAATTGTTTACAAAATAATGTAATAAACTAAGCCATAGTAAAAAAAATTCAGATAACGAAGAAAAATATACATAGGAGTAACTGAAAAAAATAAACTATGCACACAAAACATATTTTCACAAATAGTAAATAAGCAAACAGAACAATGCTTTCCAAGTATATCTGGGAAATTAAAAGCAAAAATCAAATCGCAGCAAAAATGACATGGAAATTAAAGAACATCAACCTAAAACAATCAATCCAAAAACTACAAACTCTGCTCAGAGGAAAAAATAGCTATAATTACCTTTCCAGACCAAAACAAACTACTAAATAAACGATCAGAACTCATCTCAAAATGAAGATACGAAAAAACTTTTAACTAAATAAAAATAAATAAGCAAAAACAAGAAAATAAATTAATCCAAATAAATAAATAATACACAAATTAACCATTCAAACCAAAAATAACCGTTAGAATAGAATACCTATAATGCAATAGACTATCCTCAATGCACCACTGACCGTATATATAAATAGTCGAGAAAAACACAACGCTTGATAATTGCATTTAGCATGAAACAGTCTGTCACCTCTGAGTCTTGACTTCAATGTCCCCCTTCAATGTCCCCGCATATATATATATATATATATATATATATGCTCGACTCTCCCGTCAAATTCGACGGATGAGGGTCAAGCAGATCAGTTCCCAGCCCGACAACAGCACTTGAGATAGTGGTGAAGGTTTCGTGTAGGAATACAGAGACCTGGTGCACGAAGTAGAAATTTGTAATTCTTATTGGTTAATTTATATTGAATGTGCTGGGTGAGAGGGTAGTTTAATTTAGTAACGGGTCTATATGATATGATGTGATAGTAATGTTGCAAGGGGTTGGAGACAATGATAATATAATTAGCTAAAAGTTACAAATTTCTACCTGTTACATATACACAGTCACTAAAAACAAACAAATAACCAGCTTTAAATGTAACAAATAAACCCCCACTTTTTTCAAAAATTTAAAAATAAATATAAATCATAATAATTTTTACCTATCATAATTTTACACAAACCCCACCACACGTATATACATACATGCGAGGAAATATTATTCAGTGGAAAAATAATAATAATAATAATATGACATGTATACATTCACGAGACATTCCCGAGACATTTCCGCCACACTTCCAATCTTTAAATTTCAACATACAAATGCGTATGTATAGACACAACACCACCCGTATATGTCATATCGGAAACTGCCCACATATGTTTATATATGTTTACATATGTATGAGTCCCGACGGACGACCAAGTATGTATATGTGTCTGCATATATCGATGTTTGCGTTAGTACGCTGACATAAGCGACAACGTTTCCCCCACCACTTCCACAATAATACCAATACACGCAATCTACATAAACCCAAATTTAAAAAAAAAATTAATCAGTTTGTCTGACGATCGCTAAAGCGTGAAACCCAGGGTCACAAACTCACATCTATCCAACCAAATATATATATATATATATATATATATATATATATATATATATATATATATTTCCAGGTTCATTTTCCATCTTACTCAAGATGATTTTCGCTCTCTCTAACCTTCTAACTTTTTGTCCTGGAGTAACAAGCTGCCTCGCAGCTTTCACGTATGACTTCATTTTCAAGTCTTTTCTCACTGTTTTTTGGACTGACATATCTGAAGGTTCTCTGTCACGTGCCAAATATCTTATAAATTGAGTTGGGTCTTTTTAAATTTATCTGTTTATCTCGAGTCGTGGCCTGACGATTGCGTCTAGCATGAAACAGCCTGTCGCCGCTAAGTGTTGACTTCAATGTTCACTTATATATATATATATATATATATATAATAGTTAATAAATACATTTTAAAACAGATTTACACAGTCTAAGATTAAAGAGTACTTTACGCAATCTCTTCCGTAATATAGGGCATACAAAAAATATAAAAATAAAAAATACTTCATCTATCATTTTTTTAAATTTATTGTCTCGTTGTGAAAGGACAAGGGCGTGTTCGTAAATTCTCAAGCTACCATTTAGTCAAAAGGCCTTCTAATATACAAGAGATATTATTTTTACTCTTAACATTACAAGTATTTTTTTATCTCTTGAATATATATATATATATATATATATATATATATTATGAAATGGACAAAGTCCGACAATTATTTTTTAAGACATCTTTATGTTTATACATTCTTTTTATAGATACAAATATTTAAATAAAGGCTCTTTTTATAATAAACAGTATTAACGACATTTACCAGCCTGAATGTCCGAGAAATTTTCATAGAAAATATTCGTCCTGCGACAGGAATAGAACCTGTATCCTATACGTAACCGTCATATTGCCTGACGTGCCTTTAACAGATTTGGCCACAGAGGAGCGTTTGGTTAGCAAGGCCGAATTTACTGCCTTTACAATTAAATCTTCCATGAATCTCTCACGTACATTCGTATCTGCTCAATGCGTTTATATGTATCTATAAAAAGAATGTATAAACATAAAAATGTCTTTAAAAATAATGGACGGATTTTGTCAATTTCATAATGTGTGACGTCATTTGTTTACATTTGGATACGCTATGATATGCTTTTGACCTATTATCTGCCATGAGCCTCATTTGGGGATCTGTTAAAATTAAACTCACTACTTGTATTTACATTGAAGTGCTTAGATATATTGCATTTGCAGAGGTATATTTTACAACACTTAGCCTTTAAAGTTTTTATTGTTAACAGTAAGAAGACATTTTCTGTCGTAATATTACATTTCGCGAGTAGAAAAATAATGACTATTTTGAAAAGTATTTTTTATTATTTCTAATCAGTATTATTTTTTCATGTTTTATACACATATATAATATAACAGTAACTACTGAAATTAAACATAACGAATAAATAAACTCCGAAGGCACCTCTTTGGGCCAAAATACGCATTAAAAAAAATTTGTAGTTAATGGGTTAAGCTAGATTTAGGTTTTGTCCGCCAGTTTATTGAATGAGCACAGAGTAGACAGTTTGTATTAAGAATAAATTCTGTTCGAAAAATTAAAGTATGGGCATGTTCATTATGGAAGCAGAATATTTAAAAATTTTGCTCTTGTTGCAAGGACACTTAAATAATATAAACCTACATCCAGGTGTGGGACTAAATACTAAATATTTAAGATATATATTTTCAAGTAAATGACCCTTTCAGCGGAAAAGAATCGTTATGTTTTGAGTTGAGAACAGTTAAGAAGGAGAGAGCTGCTGAGGAGAAAGAGAAATAAGAAATTTTCTAAAATTAACATCGTGGCTCAACACAGTGCAACGACAGCCAGTCATTCAGATATAACATTTATATAAGCATTCATTCCTTCAATGTCAGCCACTAATACTGTACCTTAAGATATAGCATCCATATCACCATCCACTGCTGCAATGTCAGCCACTAATCCTCTTCATTCAGATATAGCATCCACATCAACTATGCAATGTCAGCCACCAGCACTTTTCCTTCAGATATAGCAACTAGATCAGCATCCAGTCCTGCAATGTCAGCCACTAGTACTCTTCCTTCAGATATAACATCCACATCAGTTTTCACTCTTGCAATGTCAGACACGACTACGGTTTCTTCAGATATAGCATCTACATCAGCATCCACTCCTGCAATGTCAGCCACTAGTCCTCTTCCTTCAGATATAGCATCTACATCAGCATCCCACTCCTGCAATATGTCACATCAGCATCACTAATGTACTCTTCCTTCAGATATAGCATCTACATCACATTCCACTCCTGCAATGTCAACCACGAGTACTCTTCCTTCAGAGATCTATCAGCATCCACAATGTCAACCACTAGTACATATAGCTACACACTGCAATGTCAGCCACTAGTACCCTTCCTTCAGATATAGCATCTATATCACATTCCACTCCTGCAATGTCGACCACTAGTACTCTTCCTTCCATTCAGATATAGCATCTACATCAACAGCATCCACTCCTGCAATGTCAACCACTAGTACTCTTCCTTCAGATATCCAGTACTCTTCCTTCAGATATAGCATCTACATCACCTTCCACTCCAGCAATGTCAGCCACTAGTACTCTTCCTTCAGATATAGCATCTACATCAGCATCCACTCCTGCAATGTCAACCACTAGTACTCTTCCTTCAGATATAGTCATATAGCATCCACATCACATCCACTTCAATGTCAACTCCTCTTCAGATATAGCATCTACATCACCTTCCACTCCTGCAATGTCAACCACTAGTACTCTTCCTTCAGATATAGCATCTACATCACCTCCCACTCCTGCAATGTCAACCACTAGTACTCTTCCTTCAGATATAGCATCTACATCACCTTCCACTCCTGCAATGTCAACCACTAGTACTCTTCCTTCGGATATAGCATCTACATCAGCATCCACTCCTGCAATGTCAGCCACTAGTCCTCTTCCTTCAGATATAGCATCCACATCACCTTCCACTCCTGCAATGTCAGCCACTAGTACTCTTCCTTCAGATATAGCATCTACATCAGCATCCACTCCTGCAATGTCACATCCACTAGTCTTCTTCCTTCAGATATAGCATCCATCAGCATCCAGCAATGTCAACCACTCTCTTCCTTCAGATATAGTCTACATCACCTTCCAGATATAGCATCCAGCAATGTCAACCACTAGTACTCTTCCTTCAGATATAGCATCTACATCAGCATCCACTCCTGCAATGTCAGCCACTAGTACTCTTCCTTCAGATATAGCATCTACATCAGCATCCACATCACCTTCCACTCCCTGCAATGTCAACCACTAGTACTCTTCCTTCAGATATAGCATCTACATCAGCATCCACCCATCCACTAGTACAATGTCACATCAGCCCACTAGTACTCTTCCTTCAGATATAGCATCTACATCAGCATCCACTCCTGCAATGTCAACCACTAGTACTCTTCCTTCAGATATAGCATCTACATGCAATGTCAGCCACTTCCATTCAGATATAGCCTGCAATGTGCCAACCACTAGTCCACTCTTCCTTCTCTTAGATATAGCACATCAGCATCCACAATGTCACCTCCCTTCAGATATAGCATCCTGCAATCCTCCTGCAATGTCAACCACTAGTACATCCACATCAGCATCCACCTTCAGATATACCGCATCTACATCACCTTCCACTCCTGCAATGTCAACCACTAGTACTCTTCCTTCAGATATAGCATCTACATCATCATCCACTCCTTTCAAGCAATGTCAGCCACTCCTGCAGTCAACCACTAGTACTCCTTCAGATATAGCATCCACATCACATCTTCCACTCCTGCAATGTCAGCCACTAGTACTCTTCCTTATAGATATAGCATCCACTACATCAGCATCCACTCCTGCAATGTCAACCACTAGTACTCTTCCTTCAGATATAGCATCTACATCACCTTCCACTAGTACTATTCCCTTCAGATATAGTAATCAGTCCAAATGTCCAACTAGTACTCTTCCTTCAGATATAGCATCCACATCAGCATCTACACCTGCAATGTCAGCCACTAGTATTGTTCATTCAGATATAGCATCTAAATCACCTTCCACTCCTGCAATGTCAACCACATCTAGTCCTCCTTGTCATCCTTCAGATAGATATAGTATCTACATCAGCATCCACTCCTGCAATGTCAGCCACTAGTACTCTTTCTTCAGATATAGCATCTACATCAGCATCCACTCCTGCAATGTCAACCACTAGTACTCTTCCTTCAGATATAGCATCCACATCAGCATCTACACCTGCAATGTCAGCCACTAGTACTGTTCATTCAGATATAGCATCCACATCACCTTCCACTCCTGCAATGTCAACCACTAGTACTCTTCCTTCAGATATAGCATCTACATCAGCATCCACTCCTGCAATGTCATCCACTAGTACTCTTCCTTCAGATATAGCATCTACATCAGCATCCACTCCTGCAATGTCAGCCACTAGTACTCTTCCTTCAGATATAGCATCTACATCAGCATCCACTCCTGCAATGTCAACCACTAGTACTCTTCCTTCAGATATAGCATCCACATCAGCATCTACACCTGCAATGTCAGCCACTAGTACTGTTCATTCAGATATAGCATCTAAATCACCTTCCACTCCTGCAATGTCAGCCACTAGTCCTGCAATGTCAACCACTAGTATAGCATCTACATCACATCCACTCCTGCAATGTCAACCACTAGTCTCTTCCTTCAGATATAGCATCTACATCAGCATCCACTCCTGCAATGTCAGCCACTAGTACTCTTCCTTCAGATATAGCATATAGCATCTACATCAGCATCCACTCCTGCAATGTCAGCCACTAGTACTCAGTTTCTTCAGATATAGCATCTACATCAGCATCCACTCCTGCAATGTCAACCACTAGTACTCTTCCTTCAGATATAGCATCCACATCAGCAATGTCTACACCTGCAATGTCAGCAATGTCACTAGTACTGTTCATTCAGATATAGCATCCAAATCACCTTCCACTCCTGCAGATGTCAACCACTAGTACTCTTCCTTCAGATATAGCATCCACATCTACATCAGCATCCACTCCTGCAATGTCACATCCATCTAGTACTCTTCCTTCAGATATAGCATCTACATCAGCATCCACTCCTGCAATGTCAGCCACTAGTACTCTTTTCCAGATATAGCATCTACATCAGCATCCACTCCTGCAATGTCAACCACTAGTACTCTTCCTTCAGATATAGCATCCACATCAGCATCCACACCTGCAATGTCAGCCACTAGTACTGCTTCCTTCAGATATAGCATCCACATCACCTTCCACTCTGCAATGTCAAACCACTAGTACTCTTCCTCCAGATATACTAGCATCTCCTTCAGATCCATCAGCATCCACTCCTGCAATGTCAGCCACTAGTACATCTTCCTTCAGATATAGCATCTATCATCAAATCATCCACTCCTGCAATGTCAGCCACTAGTACTCTTACTTCAGATATAGCATCTACATCAGCATCCACTCCTGCAATGTCAGCCACTAGTACTCTTTCTTCAGATATAGCATCTACATCAGCATCCACTCCTGCAATGTCAACCACGAGTACTCTTCCTTCAGATATAGCATCCACATCAGCATCCACACCTGCAATGTCAGCCACTAGTATTCATTCAGATATAGCATCACCACTCCTGCAATGTCAACCACTAGTACTCTTCCTTCAGATATCATCCACTCCTGCAATGTCAACCACTAGTACTCTTCCTTCAGATATAGCATCTACATCAATGCATCCACATCTCCAGCATGCAATGTCAACCACTAGTACTCTTCCTTCAGATATAGCATCTACATCAGCATCCACTCCTGCAATGTCATCCACTAGTACTCTTTCTTCAGATATAGCATCTACATCAGCATCCACTCCTGCAATGTCAGCCACTAGTACTCTTCCTTCAGATATAGCATCCACATCAGCATCCACTCCTGCAATGTCAACCACTAGTACTGTTCCTTCAGATATAGCATCCACATCAGCATCTCCTGCAATAAAGTTCCACTAATGTCAGTTCATTCAGATATAGCATCTACATCACCTTCCACTCCTGCAATGTCAACCACTAGTACTCTTCCTTCAGATATAGCATCTACATCAGCATCCACTCCTGCAATGTCAGCCACTAGTACTCTTCCTTCAGATATAGCATCTACATCACCATCCACTCCTGCAATGTCAGCCACTAGTACTCTTCCTTCAGATATAGCATCTACATCAGCATCCACTCCTGCAATGTCAACCACTAGTACTCTTCCTTCAGATATAGCATCACATCAGCATCCACTCCTGCAATGTCAACCACTAGTTCTTCCTTCAGATATAGCATCCACATCAGCATTACAGATGTCATAGTTCATTCAGATATAGTATCATCAGCTTCCACTCCTGCAATGTCAACCACTAGTACTCTTCCTTCAGATATAGCATCTACATCAGCATCCACTCCTGCAATGTCAGCCACTAGTACTCTTACTTCAGATATAGCATCTACATCATCCACATCATCCACTAGTACTCTTTCTTCAGATATAGCAATGTCCACTCCTGCAATGTCAACCACTAGTACTTTCCTTCAGATATAGCATCCACATCAGCATCTACCTGCATCTGTTCATTCAGATATAGCATCCACATCACCTTCCACTCCTGCAATGTCATCAACCACTAGTACTCTTCCTTCAGATATAGCATCCACATCAGCATCTACACCTGCAATGTCAGCCACTAGCATACTGTTCATTTCAGATATAGCATCTAAATCAGCATCCACTCCTGCAATGTCAACCCAGTACTCTTCCTTCTATAGCATCTAGTCAGCATCTTCCTTCAGATATAGCATCCACATCAGCATCTATCTACATCAGCATCCCTTCCACTCCTGCAATGTCAACCACTAGTACTCTTCCTTCAGATATAGCAGATATAATGCATCTAGATATAGCATCACATCACCACTCCTGCAATGTCAGCCACTAGTACTCTTCCTTCAGATATAGCATCTACATCAGCATCCACTCCTGCAATGTCAACCACTAGTACTCTTCCTTCAGATATAGCATCTACATCAGCATCCACTCCTGCAATGTCAACCACTAGTACTCCTTCAGATATAGCATCTACATCAGCATCCACTCCTGCAATGTCAACCACTAGTACTCTTCCTTCAGATATAGCATCTACATCAGCATCCACACCTGCAATGTCAGCCACTAGTACTCTTCCTTCAGATATAGCATCCACATCAGCATCCACTCCTGCAATGTCAACCACTAGTATTCTTCCTTCAGATATAGCATCATACATCAGCATCCCACTCCTGCAGATATAGTCACATCCATCCACTAGTAGCATCCACATCAGCATCTAAATAACCTTCCTGCAATGTCAACCACTAGTACTCTTCCTTCAGATATAGCATCCACATCAGCATCCACTCCTGCAATGTCAGCCACTAGTACTCTTCCTTCAGATATAGCATCCACATCAGCATCCACTCCTGCAATGTCATCCACTAGTACTCTTCCTTCAGATATAGCATCTACATCAGCATCCACTCCTGCAATGTCAACCACTAGTACAGATATAGCATCTATATCAGCATCCACCTGCAATGTCAGCCACTAGTACTGTTCCTTCAGATATAGCATCTACATCAGCATCCACTCCTGCAATGTCAACCACTAGTACTCTTCCCTTCAGATATAGCATCTACATCAGCATCCACATCTGCAATGTCATCCACTAGTACTCTTCCTTCAGATATAGCATCTACATCAGCATCCACTCCTGCAAATGTCAGCCACTAGTCTTCTTCTTCAGATATAGCATCTACATCAGCATCCACTCCTGCAATGTCAACCACTAGTACTCTTCCTTCAGATATAGCATCCACATCAGCATCTACACCTGCAATGTCAGCCACTAGTATTGTTCATTCAGATATAGCATCCAAAATCACCTCCACTCCTGCAATGTCAACCACTAGTACATCTTCCTTCAGATATAGTATCTTCCTTCAGATATATCAGCATCCACTCCTGCAATGTCAACCACTAGTACTCTTCCTTCAGATATAGCATCTACATCAGCATCCACTCCTGCAATGTCAGCCACTAGTACTCTTCCTTCAGATATAGCATCATCAGCATCCACTCCTGCAATGTCAACCACTAGTACTCTTCCTTCAGATATAGCATCCACATCAGCATTCCACCTGCAAATGTCCAGCCACTAGTACATTCAGATATAGCATCCAAATCACCTTCCACTCCTGCAATGTCAACCACTAGTACTCTTCCTTCAGATATAGCATCTACATCAGCATCCACTCCTGCAATGTCAACCACTAGTACTTCCTTTAGATATAGCATCTACATCATCCTGCAATGTCAGCCACTCACTCTTTCTTCAGATATAGCATCTACATCAGCATCCACTCCCTGCAATGTCACTAGTATTGTTCAGATATTCAGATATAGCATCAGCCACTAGTACTCATTCAGATAGCATCCACATCACCTTCCTGCAATGTCAACCACTAGTACTCTTCCTTCAGATATAGCATCTACATCAGCATCCACTCCTGCAATGTCAGCCACTAGTACTCTTACTTCAGATATAGCATCTACATCAGCATCCACTCCTGCAATGTCAGCCACTAGTACTCTTTCTTCAGATATAGCATCTACATCAGCATCCACTCCTGCAATGTCAACCACTAGTACTCTTCCTTCAGATATAGCATCCACATCAGCATCTACACCTGCAATGTCAGCCACTAGTACTGTTCATTCAGATATAGCATCCACATCACCTTCCACTCCTGCAATGTCAACCACTAGTACTCTTCCTTCAGATATAGCATCTACATCAGCATCCACTCCTGCAATGTCATCCACATGAGTACTCTTCCTTCAGATATAGCATCTACATCAGCATCCACTCCTGCAATGTCAGCCACTAGTACTCTTCCTTCAGATATAGCATCTACATCAGCATCCACTCCTGCAATGTCAACCACTAGTACTCTTCCTTCCAGATATAGCATCTACATCAGCATCCACTCCTGCAATGTCAGCCACTAGTACCTTCATTCAGATATAGCATCTACTCAGCATCCACCCCTGCAATGTCAACCACTAGTACTTCTTCCTTCAGATATAGCATCTACATCAGCATCCACTCCTGCAATGTCAACCACTAGTACTCTTCCTTCAGATATAGCATCTACATCAGCATCCACTCCCCTGCAATGTCAGCCACTAGTACTCTTTTCTTCAGATATAGCATCTCTCCAACCAGCATCCAGCATCTACACCTGCAATGTCAACCACTAGTACTCTTCCTTCAGATATAGCATCCACATCAGCATCCACTCCTGCAATGTCAGCCACTAGTACTCTTCATTCAGATATAGCATCTAATCATCTTCCCTCCTGCAATGTCATCCACTAGTACTCTTCCAGCTCAGATATAGCATCCACATCAGCATCCACTATGCCACTCCTGCAATGTCAGCCACTAGTACTGTTTCTTCAGATATAGCATCTACATCAGCATCCACTCCTGCAATGTCAACCACTAGTTGCTCTTCCTTCACAGATATAGCATCCCACATCAGCATCTACACCTGCAATGTCAGCCACTAGTACATTCAGATATAGCATCCAGTTCCACTCCTGCAATGTCAACCACTAACTCTTCCTTCAGATATAGCATCTACATCAAAGCATCCACTCCTGCAATGTCATCCACTAGTACTCTTCCTTCAGATATAGCATTCACATCACGCGAGCATCCACTCCTGCAGATATAGTCATCCTTCAGATATAGCATCTACATCAGCATCCACTCCTGCAATGTCAGCCACTAGTACTCTTCCTTCAGATATAGCATCTCATCAGCATCCACTCCTGATATAGCAACATCACATCCACTCCTGCAATGTCAGCCAATAATTCAGATATATAGCACTAGTACTCTTCAACTTCCAGATATAGCATCCACAGCATCACACCTGCAATCCCACTAGTATTGTTCTTCAGATATAGCATCCATGTCAACCACTAGTACTCTTTTTCCTTATAGATATAGCATCCACTCTGCAATGTCATCCACTAGTACTCTTACTTTAGATATATCCATCCACTCCTGCAATGTCAGCCACTGTCATCTACATCAGCATCCACTCTCACCAATGTCAACCACTTATAGCATCCACATCAGCATTCAGATATAGCATCCACATCACCTTCCCACTCCTGCAATGTCAACCACTCCTTCCTTCAGATATAGCATCTATCAGTCCATCATCACTAGTACTCTTCCTTCAGATATAGCATCTATATCAGCATCCACCCTTGTCCAGATATAGCATCTCTTCCTTCAGATATAGCATCACATGTCAGCATCCAGATATAGCATCCTGCAATGTCAACCACTTACTCTTCCTTCAGATATAGCATCCCACATCAGCATCTACATCTGCAATGTCAGCCACTAGTACTGTTCATTTCAGATATAGCATCTACATCAGCTTCCACTCCTGCAATGTCAACCACTAGTACTCTTCCTTCAGATATAGCAGATATAGTTCATTCTATAAAGACATATCACCATCACTCCTGCAATGTCAATGTCACCTGTACTCTTCCTTCAATATAGCATCTACATCAGCATCCACTGTCTTCCTTCAGATATAGCATCTACATCAGCATCCACTCCTGCAATGTCAGCCACTAGTACTCTTCCTTCAGATATAGCATCTACATCAGCATCCACTCCTGCAATGTCAACCACTAGTACTCTTCCTTCAGATATAGCATCCACATCAGAATGTCAGCCACTAGTTCATTCAGATATAGCATCTACATCACCTTCCACTCCTGCAATGTCAACCACTAGTACTCTTCCTTCAGATATAGCATCCACATCAGCATCCACACCTGCAATGTCAACCACTAGTACTCTTCCTTCAGATATAGCATCTACATCACCTTCCACTCTTTCCTTCAGATATGTAATAACCACTAGTAACCTCTTTCCCTTCAGATATAGCATCTACATCAGCATCCACTCCTGCAATGTCAACCACTAGTACTCTTCCCTTCAGATATAGCATTCAGCATCTACACCTGCAATGTCAGCCACTAGTACTGTTCATTCAGCATCTAAAGACCATCAGTACCTTCCTTCAAGATATAGCATCTACATCAGTCCAAACTAGGCTCTTCCTTCAGATATAGCATCAGCATCCTCCTGCAATGTCAATCACTAGCTTCTTCCTTCAGATATAGCATCTACATCAGCATCCACTCCCCAAATGTCAACCACTAGTACTATTCCTTGAATTCGCATCTACATCCATCCACTCACCAATGTCAACCACTAGTACTAGCATCTCCATCACATCACCATTCAGATATAGCCACCTTCCTGCAATGTCAACCATCTCTTCTTCAGTATAGCATCTACATCAGCTTCCCCTTAATGTCAGACTAGTACTCTTAACTTTAGATATAGCATCTACATCAGCATCCACTCCTCAATGTCAATGTACTCTTTCTTCAGATATAGCATCTCTCAGTATTGTTCATTCAGATATAACATCCAAATCAGCATCTACACCTGCAATGTCAACCACTAGTGCTCTTCATTCAGATATAGCATCTACATCAGCATCCACTCCTCCACCCTGCAATGTCAGCCACTAGTACTCTTCCTTCAGATATAGATATCCACTCCTGCATCAGCCACTAGTATCAGATATAGCATCCATCAGCATCCTGCAATGTCAACCACTAGTACTCTTTCTTCAGATATAGCATCCACATCAGCATCTACACCTGCAATGTCAGCCACTAGTACTGTTCATTCAGATATAGCATCTAAATCAACCACTAGTACTCTTCCTTCAGATATAGCATCTACATCAGCATCCAGTCAACCACTAGTACTCTTCCTTCAGATATATAGCATCTACATCAGCATCCACTCCTGCAATGTCAACCACTAGTACTCTTCCTTCAGATATAGCATCCACATCATCAGCATCCACTCCTGCAATGTCAACCACTAGTACTCTTCCTTCAGATATAGCATCTACATCAGCATCCACCCTGCAATGTCAGCCACTAGTACTCTTCATTCAGATAGTAGATATAGCATCCTGCATCAGCATCCACTCTTGCAATGTCAGCCACTAGTACCTTCTTCTTCAGATATAGCATCTACATCAGCATCCACCCTGCAATGTCACTAGTACTCTTCAGCCACTAGTACTGTGTCATTCATTCAGATAGCATCTAAATCACCTTCCACTCCTGCAATGTCAACCACTAGTACTCTTCCTTCAGATATAGCATCTACATCAGCATCCACTCCTGCAATGTCAGCCACTAGTACTCTTCCTTCAGATATAGCATCTACATCAGCATCCACTCCTGCAATGTCAACCACTAGTACTCTTCCTTCAGATATAGCATCTACATCAGCATCCACTCCTGCAATGTCAACCACTAGTACTCTTCCTTCAGATATAGCATCCACATCAGCATCTACACCTGCAATGTCAGCCACTAGTATTGTTCATTCAGATATAGCATCTAAATCACCTTCCACTCCTGCAATGTCAACCACTAGTACTCTTCCTTCAGATATAGCATCTACATCAGCATCCACAAATGTCATCCACCTCTTTACTTCAGATATAGCATCTACATCAAGCATCCACTCCATGCAAATGTTGCCACTAGTTGCTCTTCCTTCAGATATAGCATCTACATCAGCATCCACTCCTGCAATGTCAACCACTAGTACTCTTCCTTCCAGATATAGCATCCATCAGCATCTACACCTGCAAATGTCAGCCACTAGTATTGTTCATTCAGATATAGCCAATGTCAACCACTAGTACTCTTCCTTCAGATATAGCATCTACATCAGCATCCACTCCTGCAATGTCAAACTATACTAGATATAGCATCTACATCAGCATCCAGAATGTCAGCCACTATCAGTAAGATATAGCATCTACATCAGCATCCACTCCTGCAATGTCAACCCATAGTACTCTTCCTTCAGATATAGCATCCACATCAGCATCTACATGCAATGTCATCCACTAGTACTGTTCATTCAGATATAGCATCCAAATCACCTTCCACTCCTGCAATGTCAACCACTGCAGATATAGCATCCCATCAGCATCCACTCCTGCAATGTCAGCCACTAGTACTCTTCCCTTCAGATATAGCATCTACATCAGCATCCACTCCTGCAGCCACTGTCTCTCCTTCAGATATAGCATCACATCAGCATCCACTCCTGCAATGTCAACCACTTACTCTTCCTTCAGATATAGCATCTACATCAGCATCCACTCCTGTTCAATGTCAACCACTAGTACTCCTTGTCCCATCAGATATAGCATCCATCAGCATCCACACCTGCAAAAGTCAGCCACTAATTGTTCTTCAGATAGATAATCAGCATCCCACTCCTGCACATCTAGTACCATCCATCAGCATCCTGCAATGTCAACTCTTCTTTAGATATAGCATCCACATCAGCATCTACACCTTCCTGTCAGATATAGCATCCATAGCATAAATCAGCATCCACTCCTGCAATGTCATCCACTAGTACTCTTCCTTCAGATATAGCATCTACATCAGCATCCTCCTGCAATGTCAAATACTTCAGATATAGCATCTACATCAGCATCCACTCCTGCAATGTCAACCACTAGTACTCTTTCTTCAGATATAGCATCCACATCAGCATCCCCACCTGCAATGTCAGCCACTAGTACTCTTCCTTCAGATATAGCATCCACATCAGCATCCACACCTGCAATGTCAACCACTAGTACTCTTCCTTCAGATATAGCATCATCAGTTTCCACTCCTGCAATGTCAACCACTAGTACAGATATAGCATCTACATCAGCATCCACATCTGCAATGTCAGCCACTAGTACTCTTCCTTCAGATATAGCATCTACATCAGCATCCACCCCTGCAATGTCAGCCACTCAGTACTCTTCCTTCAGATATAGCATCTACATCAGCATCCACTCCTGCAATGTCAACCACTAGTACTCTTCCTTCAGATATAGCATCCACATCAGCATCCACACCTGCAATGTCAACCACTAGTACTTTCCTTCAGATATAGCATCTATCACATCCAGCAATGTCAACCACCAGTACTCTTTCCTTCAGATATAGCATCTACATCAGCATCCACTCCTGCAATGTCACCAGTAGTACTCTTCCTTCCAGATATAGCATCTACATCAGCATCCACTCCTGCAATGTCAGCCACTAGTACTCTTCCTTCAGATATAGCATCTACATCACATCCACTCCTGCAAATGTCAACCACTAGTACTCTTCCTTCAGATATAGCATCATCAGCATCCACTCCTGCAAATGTCAAACACTAGTACTCTTCCTTCAGATATAGCATCTACATCAGCATCCACTCCTGCAATGTCAACACTAGTACTCTTCCTTCAGATATAGCATCCACATCCCATGCAATGTCAGCCACTAGTACTCTTCCTTCAGATATAGCATCTAAATCAGCATCCACTCCTGCAATGTCAGCCATCCTTCCCTTCAGATATAGCATCCACATCAGCATCCACTCCTGCAATGTCAGCCACTAGTACTCTTCCTTCAGATATAGCATCTACATCAGCATCCAATCCTGCAATGTCAATCACTAGTACTCTTCAGATATAGCATCTACCTTCCACTCCAGCAATGTCAACCACTAGTACTCTTCCTTCAGATATAGCATCTACATCAGCATCCACTCCTGCAATGTCAGCCACTAGTACTCTTCCTTCAGATATAGCATCCACATCAGCATCCACCCTGCAATGTCAACCACTAGTACTCTTCCTTCAGATATAGCATCCATCAGCATCCACCCTGCAATGTCATCCACTAGTACTCTTCCTTCAGATATAGCATCCAATCAGCATCCACACCTGCAATGTTAGCCACTAGTACTCTTCCTTCAGATATAGCATCATCACATCCACCTGTCCACTCCTGCAATATAGCATCCACATCAGCACACACCTGCAAATACTCTTGTTCTTCCAGATATAGCAACTAAATCAGCATCCACTTCTGCAATGTCAACCACTAGTACTTTTCCTTCAGATATAGCATCTACATCAGATCCACTCCTGCAATGTCAACCATCAGTACTTTCTTAGCTTCAGATATAGCATCCTACATCATCATCCACTCTGCAATGTCAGCCACTAGTACTCTTCCTTCAGATATAGCATCCACATCAGCATCCACTCCTGCAATGTCAACCATTTTCAGTACTGTTCCTTCAGATATTCTTCCACTTCAGATGTCAGCCACTAGTAACGTTCCTTCAGATATAGCATCTACAATGTCAACTTAATTAGTACCTTTCCATCGGCATCCAGCAATGTCAGACACTAGTACTCTTCCTTCAGATATAGCATCCACATCAGCATCCACCCTGCAATGTCAGCCACTATTGTTCCTTCAGATATAGCATCTACATCACCATCCACTTCAACCACTAGTTCCCTCAGATATAGCATCTACATCAGCATCCCACTCCCTGCAATGTCAACCACTAGTACATCCATCACATCCACTCCTGCAATGTCAACCACTAGTACTCTTCCTTCAGATATAGCATCTACATCACATCCACTCCTGCAATGTCAAATACTGTTCAGATATAGCATCCACATCAGCATCCACTCCTGCAAATGTCAGCCACTAGTACTCTTCCTTCAGATATAGCATCTACATCAGCATCCACAATGTCATCCACTAGTCCTCCTTCAGATATAGCATCTACATCAGCATCCACTCCTGCAATGTCAGCCACTTCCTTCAGATATAGCATCTACATCAGCATCCACTCCTGCAATGTCAACCACTAGTACTCTTCCTTCAGATATAGCACTCATTCCACTCCTGCAATTCAGCCACTAGTCCTCTTCATTCAGATATAGCATCTAAATGTCAGCATCCACTCCTTCAATGTCACATCAGTACTCATATAGCATCTACATCAGCATCCTGCAATGTCAACCACTAGTACTCTTCCTTCAGATATAGCATCCACATACATCCACTCCTGCAATGTCAGCCACTAGTACTCTTTTCCCTTCAGATATCAGCCATCCTCTTCTAATTTTCCACATCCCACCTCCACCTGCAATGTCAACCACTAGTACTCTTCCTTCAGATATAGCATCCACATCAGCATCCACTTCAATGTCAGCCACTAGTACTGTTCCTTCAGATATAGCATCTACATCAGCATCCACTCCTGCAATGTCAACCACTAGTACTCTTCATCTTCAGATATAGCATCTACCTTCAGATATAGCATCCACACCTCCTGCAATGTCATCCACTAGTACTCTTCCTTCAGATATAGCATCTACATCAATGTCAACATCCTCTTCCTTCAATATAGCATCCACATCAGCATGTCAGATATAGCATCTACATCAGTCCTCTTCAATGTCTAGTACTCTTCCTTCAGATATAGCATCCACATCAGCATCCACACCTGCAATGTCAACCACTAGTACTGTTCATTCAGATATAGCATCTAAATCAGCATCCACTCCTGCAATGTCAACCACTAGTACTCTTCCTTCAGATATGTTCCATTCAGATATAACATCCAAATCACCTTCCTTCTCCTATAGCATCTACATCCATCCACTCCTGCAATGTCAGCCATAGTACTTTTCCTTCAGATATAGCATCTACATCAGCATCCACTCCTGCAATGTCAGCCACTAGTACTCTTCCTTCAGATATAGCATCTACATCAGCATCCACTCCTGCAATGTCAACCACTAGTACTCTTCCTTCAGATATAGCATCCACATCAGCATCTACACTCTTCAATGTCGTCATCCCCAGTCATCCCTGTACTCTTCCTTCAGATATAGCATCTTCATCCCAGCAATGTCAAATCCACTCGTACTCTTCCTTCAGATATAGCATCTACATCAGCATCCACCCTGCAATGTCAGCCACTAGTACTCTTCCTTCAGATATAGCATCTACATCCATCCACTCCTGCAATGTCAGCCACTAGTACTACAGCATCACATCAGCATCCACTCCTGCAATGTCAGCCACTAGTCCTCTTCCTTCCAGATATAGCATCCACATAGCATCTACACCTGCAATGTCAGCCACTAGTCTTCATTCCTTCAGATATAGCATCCACATCAGCATCCACCCTGCAATGTCAGCCACTAGTCCTCTTCCTTCAGATATAGCATCTACATCAGCATCCACTCCTGCAATGTCATCCACTAGTACTGTTCTTCTTCACATAGCATCTTCAGATATCCCCTGCAATGTCACTAGAACAGCATCCATCTCCTGCAATGTCAACCACTAGTACTTTTCCTTCAGATATAGCATCCACATCAGCATCCACTCCTTGCAATGTCAACCACTAGTACTCTTCCTTCAGATATAGCATCCGCATCACCTTCCACTCCCTGCAATGTCAGCCACCAGTACTTTCCTTCAGATATAGCATCCACATCAGTCATCCACTTCATCTGCAATGTCAGCCACTAGTACTCTTCCTTCAGATATAGCATCTACATCAGCATCCACTCCTGCAATGTCAGCCACTAGTCCTCTTCCTTCAGATATAGCATCCACATCAGCATCCACTCCTGCAATGTCAGCCACTCAGTACTGTTCCTTCAGATATAGCATCCACATCAGCATCCACACCTGCAATGTCAGCCACTAGTACTCTTCCTTCAGATATAGCATCTACATCAGCATCCACTCCTGCAATGTCAGACACTAGTACGGTTCCTTCAGATATAGCATCTACATCAGCATCCACTCCTGCAATGTCAGCCACTAGTACTGTTTCGGCAAATATAGCATCTACATCAGCATCCATGCAATGTCAGCCACTAGTACTTTCCCTTCAGATATAGCATCTACATCAGCATCCACTCCTGCAATGTCAACCACTAGTACTGTTTCCTTCAGATATAGCATCTACATCACCATCCACTCCTGCAATGTCAGCCACTAGTACTCTTCCTTCAGATATAGCATCTACATCAGCATCCACCCTGCAATGTCAGCCACTAGTAACGTTCCTTCAGATATAGCATCTACATCAGCATCCACTTTGCAATGTCAACCACTAGTACAGATATAGCATCTACATCACCTTCCACTCCTGCAAATGTCAACCACTAGTACTCTTCCCTTCAGATATAGCATCTACATCAGCATCCATTCCTGCAATGTCAGCCACTAGTACTCTTCCTTCAGATATAGCATCTACATCAGCATCCACTCCTGAAATGTCAAACACTAGTATTCTTCCTTCAGATATAGCATCTACATCAGCATCCACCCTGCAATGTCAGCCACTAGTACCTCTTCCTTCAGATATAGCATCCACATCAGCATCCACTCCCCTGCAATGTCACCTAGTCCTCTTCCTTCGATATAGCATCTACATCAGCATCCACTCCTGCAATGTCAGCCACTAGTCCTCTTCCTTCAGATATAGCATCCACATCAGCATCCCTCTTTGTCCCACTCCTGTTCCTTCAGATATAGCATCACATCATCCACTAATGTCAACTCTTCCTTCAGATATAGCATCCACATCAGCATCCACTCCTGCACGTCAACCACTAGTCCTCTTCCTTCAGATATAGCATCCATCACCTTCCTGCAATGTCATCCACTAGTACTCTTCCTTCAGATATAGCATCTACATCAGCATCCACTCCTGCAATGTCAACCACTGTCCTCTTCCTTTCAGATATAGTCACATCAGCATCCACTCTTGCAATGTCAGCCACTAGTACTCTTCCTTCAGATATAGCATCTACATCAGCATCCACTCCTGCAATGTCAACCACTAGTACTCTTCCTTCAGATATAGCATCTACATCAGCATCCACTCCTGCAATGTCAGCCACTAGTCCTCTTCCTTCAGATATAGCATCCCACATCATCCACTCTCCTGCAATGTCAGCCACTAGTACTCTTCCTTCAGATATAGTCTACATCAAGTATCCACTCCTGCAATGTCAACCACTGGTCCTCTTCCTTCAGATATAGCATCCACATCAGCATCCACACCTGCAATGTCAGCCACTAGTCCTGTTCCTTCAGATATAGCATCAAATCACCTTCCAGTCCTGCAATGTCAGCCACTAGTACTTTCCTTCAGATATAGCATCTACATCAGCATCCACTCCTGCATCATCCATAAGTACCATCCACAGCATCTACACCTGCAAATGTCAGCCACTAGTACTCTTCCTTTCAGATATAGCATCTACATCACCTTCCACTCCAGCAATGTCAACCACCAGTACTCTTCCTTCAGATATAGCATCCACATCAGCATCCACACCTGCAATGTCAGCCACTAGTACTGTTCCTTCAGATATAGCATCCACATCACCATCCACTCCTGCAATGTCAACCACTAGTACTCTTCCTTCAGATATAGCAATGTCACTAGTCCTCTTCCTTCAGCATCCACCTTCCTGCAATGTCAGCCACTAGTACTCTTCCTTCAGATATAGCATCTACAAATCCACTCCTGCAATGTCAACCATACTAGTACTCTTCAACTTCAGATATAGCATCACATCAGCATCCACACCTGCAATGTCAGCCACTAGTACTATTCCTTCAGATATAGCATCATCTACATCAGCAACACTGCAATGTCAACCACCAGTACAGATATATCACATCCATCCACTCCTGCAATGTCAGCCACTTTTTCCTTCAGATATAGCATCTACATCAGCATCCACAGCCACTAGTACTGTTTCTTCAGATATAGCATCCGCATCAGAATCCACTCCTGCAAATGTCAGCCACTAGCACTATTCCTTCAGATATAGCATCCACATCAGCATCTACACCTGCAATGTCAGCCACTAGTACTGTTCCTTCAGATATAGCATCTAAATCAACATCCACTCCTGCAATGTCAACCACTAGTATCCTTCCAGATATTGCATCCATCAGCATCCACTTCTGCAATGTCAGCCACTAGTACTGTTCATTCAGATATAGCCACATCAGTACTCCAATGTCCTTCAGTACCCTTTCTTCAGATATAGCATCTACATCAGCATCCACTCCTGCAAATGTCATCCAATAGTATTCTTCCTTCAGATATAGCATCTACATCAGCAAATTCCTGCAATGTCAGCCACTAGTACCGTTCATTCAGATATAGCATCTAAATCACCTTCCACTCCTGCAATGATCAACCACTAGTACTCTTCCTTCAGATATAGCATCTACATCACCTTCCACTCCTGCAATGTCAACCACTAGTACTCTTCCTTCAGATATAGCATCTACATCAGCATCCACTCCCTGCAATGTCAACCACTAGTCCTCTTTCTTCAGATATAGCATCTCATCAGCATCCACTCCTGCAATGTCAACCACTAGTACTCTTCCTTCAGATATAGCATCCACATCAGCATCACTCCTGCAATGTCAGCCACTAGTCCTCTTCCTTCAGATATAGCATCTACATCAGCATCCACCTGCAAATGTCAACCACTAGTACTCTTCCTTCAGATATAGCATCTACATCAGCTTCCACTCCTGCAATGTCAACCACTAGTACTCTTCCTTCAGATATAGCATCTACATGAGCATCCACACTGCAATGTCAGCCACTAGTATTGTCTTCCTTCAGATATAGCATCAATCAATTCCACTCCTTTAATGTCAACCACTAGTCCTCTTCCTTCAGATATAGCATCTACATCAGCAAAATGTCAACCACTAGTACCTCTTCCTTCAGATATAGTCCACATCAGCATCTACACTCCTGCAATGTCAGCCACTAGTACTCTTCCTTCAGATATAGCATCCACATCCAGCATGCAATACACCACTAGTCCTCTTCCTTCAATATAGCATCTAGCATCACCCTAGTCCTCTTATTGTTCCCATACTTTTCAGATATAGCATCTAAATCACATCCCACTCTTGCAATGTCAACCACTAGTACTCTTCCTTCAGATATAGCATCTACATCAGCATCCACTTCCAATGTCAACCACTAGTCAGTACTCTTTCCTTCAGATATAGCATCCACATCACCTTCCACTACTGCAAATGTCAGCCACTAGTACTTTCATTCAGATATAGCATTCACATCACCTCTACACATGCAATGTCAACCACTAGTATTCTCTTCCTTCAGATATAGCATCTACATCAGCATCCACTCCTGCAATGTCATCCACTAGTACTCTTCTCAGCATCCTCTTCCTTCTATAGCAATGTCATCTACATCAGATATAGTCATCCAGTACATTCCTTCAGATATAGCATCTACATCACCATCCACTCCTGCAATGTCAACCACTAGTACTCTTCCTTCAGAGATATAGCATCCACATCAGCATCCACACCTGCAATGTCAGCCACTAGTACTCTTCATTCAGATATAGCATCCACATCACATCCCCCTGCAATGTCAACCACTAGTCCCTTTCAGATATAGCATCCACATCAGCAGCATCCACTCCTGCAATGTCAGCCACTAGTACTCTTCCTTCAGATATAGCATCTACATCAGCATCCACTCCTGCAATGTCAGCCACTAGTACTCTTCCCTTCAGATATAGCTACATCAGCATCCACTCCTGCAATGTCAACCACTAGTACTCTTCCTTCAGATATAGCATCCATCAGCATCTACACCTGCAATGTCAGCCACTAGAACTGTTCATTCAGATATAGCATCTAAATCACCTTCCACTTCTGCAATGTCAACCACTAGTAGTTTCCTTCAGATATAGCATCTACATCAGCATCCACTCCTGCAATGTCAGCCACTAGTCTTCTTCCTTCAGATATAGCATCCACATCACCTTCCACTCCTGCAATGTCAGCCACTAGTACTCTTCCTTCAGATATAGCATCTACATCAGCATCCACTCCTGCAATGTCAACCACTAGTACTGTTCCTTCCAGATATAGCATCCACATCAGCATCTACACCTGCAATGTCAGCCACTAGTACTGTTCATTCAGATATTCTGCATCAATCATAGCATCCACTCCTGCAAAATGTCAACCACTAGTACTCTTCTTCAGATATAGCATCTACATCAGCATCCACTCCTGCAATGTCAATCACTAGTACTCTTCCTTCAGATATAGCATCTACATCAGCATCCACACATGCAAATGTCAACCACTAGTATTCTTCCTTCCAGATATAGCATCTACATCAGCATTCACTCCTGCAAATGTCAGCCACTAGTACTCTTCAGCCAGATATAGCATCTACATCAGCATCCACTCCTGCAATGTCACCACTAGTACTCATCTTCCTTCATCCACATCAATGATATAGCCCATCAGCATCTACACCTGCAATGTCAGCCACTTCATTCAGATATAGCATCTACATCACCATCCACCCTGCAATGTCAACCACTAGTACTCTTCCTTCAGATATAGCATCTACATCAGCATCCACTGCAAATGTCATCCAACTGATCATCTGTCAGCATCCACCCTGCAAATGTCAGCCACTAGTACTCTTCCTTCAGATATAGCATCTACATCAGCATCCACTCCTGCAATAACCACTAGTACATCCACATCAGATATAGCATCCACATCTCTACACCCCGCAATGTCAGCCACTAGTACTCTTCATTCAGATATAGCATCCAAATCACCTTCCATAAATGTCAACCACTCTTCCTTCAGATATATAGCATCTACATCAGCATCCAATTCTGCAATGTCATCCACTAGTACTCTTCCTTTAGATATAGTGATCCATCAGCATCCTCCTGCAATGTCAGCCACTATTACTCTTTCTTCAGATATAGCATCTACATCAGCATCCACTCCTGCAATGTCAACCACTAGTACTCTTCCTTCAGATATAGCATCCACATCAGCATCTACAAAGCCACTAGTACTGTCATTCCAGATATAGCATCCACATCACCTTCCACTCCTGCAATGTCAACCACTAGTACTCTTCCTTCAGATATAGCATCTACATCAGCATCCACTCAATGTCATCCACTAGTACTCTTCCTTCAGATATAGCATCTACATCAGCATCCACCCTGTGTCAGCCACTAGTACTTTTCTTCAGATATAGCATCTACATCAGCATCCACTCCTGCAATGTCAACCACTAGTACTCTTTCCTTCAGATATAGCATCCACATCAGCATCTACACCTGCAATGTCAGCCACTAGTACTGTTCATCCAGATATAGCATCCACATCACCTTCACTCCTGCAATGTCAACCACTAGTACTCTTCCTTCAGATATAGCATCTACATCAGCATCCACTCCTGCAATGTCAGCCACTAGTACTCTTACTTCAGATATAGCATCTACATCAGCATCCACTCCTGCAATGTCAGCCACTAGTACTCTTTCTTCAGATATAGCATCTACATCAGCATCCAGCAATGTCAACTAGCAGTAGTCTCCTTCAGATATAGCATCTACATCAGCATCCACTCCTGCAATGTCAACCACTAGTACCTTCTTCAGATATACATCTACATCAGCATCCACACCTGCAAATGTCAGCCACTAGTACTGTTCCTTCAGATATAGCATCTAAATCACCATCCACTCCTGCAATGTCAGCCACCTTCAGTACTCTCCACTCTTCAGATATAGCATCATCCAGCATCCACTCCCAATGTCAGCCACTAGTACTCTTTCTTCAGATATAGCATCTACATCAGCATCCACTCTGCAATGTCAAATTCACTAGTATAGATATAGCATCCACATCAGCATCTACACCTGCAATGTCAGCACTTATTGTACTATTCAGATATAGTAGCCACCTTCCACCCCTGCAATGTCAACCACTAGTACTCTTCCTTCCAGATATAGCATCTACATCAGGATCCACTCCTGCAATGTCAGCCACCTTTCCCTTCAGATATAGCATCTATCAGCATCCACTCCTGCAATGTCAGCCACTGGTACTCTTCCTTCAGATAAAGCATCTACATCAGCATCCACTCCTGCAATCAACCACAGTACTCTTCCTTCAGATATAGCATCCACATCAGCATCTACACTGCAAATGTCAGCCACTAGTACTGTCTTCAGATATAGCATCAGATATCCTGCAATGTCAACCACTACAGATATAGCATCTACATCAGCATCCACTCCTGCAATGTCATCCACGAGTACTCTTCCTTCAGATATAGCATCTTCCTCCTGCAATGTCAGCCACTAGTACTCTTCCTTCAGATATAGCATCTCAGCATCCACTCCTGCATAGTACTCTTCCTTCAGATATCTAGAGATCACATCAGCATCCAAATGTCAGCCACTAGTATTGTTCATTCAGATATAGCATCTAATTTCCACTCCTCAAATCGCCACTAGATATTCAGATATAGCATCTACATCAGTATCCATCCTGCAATGTCAAAGCCACTAGTACTCTTCCCTTCAGATATAGCAGTCAGCATATCCAAATGTCAGCCACTAAGTACTCTTTCTTCAGATATAGCATTCACATCAGCATCCACTCCTGCAATGTCAACCACTAGTACTCCTTCAGATATAGCATCCACATCAGCATCTACACCTGCAATGTCAGCCACTAGTATTGTTCAGATATTATCTAAATATAGCATCCAACCACTAGTACCAGATATCCCCCACTCATGCAATGTCAGCCACTAGTCCTCTTCCTTCAGATATAGCATCTACATCAGCATCCACTACTGCAATGTCATCCACTAGTACTTCCCTTCAGATATAGCATCTATGCATCCAGCAATGTCACCACTAGTACTTCCCTTCAGATATAGCATCTCATCAGCATCCACTCCTGCAAATGTCAACCACTAGTACTCTTCATATTCAGATATAGCATCCACATCAGCATCCACTCCTGCAATGTCAACCACTAGTACTCTTCCTTCAGATATAGCATCTACATCACCTTCCACTCCTGCAATGTCAACCACTAGTACTCTTCCTTCAGATATAGCATCTACATCACCATCCACTCCTGCAATGTCAACCACTAGTACTCTTCCTTCAGATATAGCATCTACATCAGCATCCACTCCTGCAATGTCAGCCACTAGTACTCTTTCTTCAGATATAGCATCTACATCAGCATCCACTCCTGCAATGTCAGCCACTAGTACTCTATAGCATCTTCAGATATAGCATCTACATCAGCATCTACACCTGCAATGTCAGCCACTAGTACTGTTCATTCAGATATAGCATCCAAATCAGCATCCACTCCTGCAATGTCAACCACCAGTACTCTTCCTTCAGATATATGCATCTACATCAGCATCCACTCCTGCAATGTCATCCACTAGTACTCTTCCTTCAGATATAGCATCTACACACAGCTATCCACTCCTGCAATGTCAGCCACTAGTACTCTTCACTTCAGATATAGCATCTACATCTTCCACTCCTGCAATGTCAACCACTAGTACCTTCCTTCAGATATAGCATCCACATCAGCATCTACACCTGCAATGTCAGCCATCAGTACTGTTCATTCAGATATAGCATCCACATCAGACTCCTGCAATGTCAACCACTAGTACTCTTCCTTCAGATATAGCATCTACATCAGCATCCACTCCTGCAATGTCAGCCACTAGTACTCTTCCTTCAGATATATAAAGACTACATCAGCATCCACTCCAATGTCAATGTACTCTTCCTTCAGATATAGCATCTACATCAGCATCCACTCCTGCAATGTCAGCCACTAGTACTCTTCCTTCAGATATAGCATCTACATCAGCATCCACTCCTGCAATGTCAACCACTAGTACTCTTCCTTCAGATATAGCATCTACATCAGCATCCACACCTGCAATGTCAACCACTAGTATTGTTCCAGATATAGCATCTAAATCAGCATCCACTCCTGCAATGTCAACCACTAACTCCCTTCAGATATAGCATCTACATCAGCATCCACTCCTGCAATGTCAGCCACTAGTACTCTTCCTTTAGATATAGCATCATCAGCATCCACTCCTGCAATGTCAGCCACTAGTACTTCTTCCAGATATAGCATCTACATCAGCATCCACTCCTGCAATGTCAACCACTCAGATAGCATCCACATTCCCTTCAGATATAGTACATTCAGATACATCAGCATCCACTCCTGCAATGTCAGCCACTAGTATCACTTCCTTCAGATATAGCATCTACATCAGCATCCACTCCTGCAATGTCAGCCACTAGTACTCTTCCTTCAGATATAGCATCTATATCAGCATCCATGCAATGTCATCCAGATATAGCATCAGCATCCACTCCTGCAATGTCAGCCACTAGTATTCTTCCTTCAGATATAGCATCCACATCAGCATCCACATCTGCAATGTCAGCCACTAGTACTGTTCCTTCAGATATAGCATCTACATCAACTTCCACCCTTGCAATGTCAAACCTCAGTACTGTCTACATCACCATCCACTTGCAACAAGTCAGCCACGAGTCCCTCTTCCTTCAGATATAGCATCTACATCAGCATCCACCCTGCAATGTCAGCCACTAGTACTCTTCCTTCAGATATAGCATCTACATCAGCATCCACATAATGTCAACCACTAGTACTCAGCATCCATGTGCAATGTCAACCACTAGTACTCTTCCTTCAGATATAGCATCACATCAGCATCCACAATGTCACATCAGCATCCACCCTGCAGTCCTCTTCCTTCAGATATAGCATCTACATCAGCATCCACTCCTGCAATGTCAGCCACTAGTACTCTTCCTTCAGATATAGCATCTACATCAGCATCCACTCCTGCAATGTCAGCCACTAGTACTGTTCCTTCAGATATAGCATCCACATCAGCATCCACACCTGCAATGTCAAATAACTAGTATTGTTCTTCAGATATAGCATCTAGCAGCATCCACTCCTGCAATGTCAACCACTAGTAATCTTCCTTCAGATATAGCATCTACATCAGCATCCACTTCCACCTTGCAATGTCAGCCACTAGTACATCCATCCAATTCTGCAATGTCAAAATAATTAGTACCTTTCTTCAGATATAGCATCTACATCAGCATCCACCTGCAATGTCAAGCACTAGTACTCCTTCAAATATAGCATCCACATCACATCACACTGATGTCAAAGTACTGTTCCTTCAGATACATCAGCATCCTCTTCCTTCAGATATAGCATCTACATCAGCATCCGCTCCTGAAATGTCACTAGCTCTTCCTCATAGCTTGTTCAGACATCTCTTCCTTCAGATATAGCATCACATCAGCATCCACTTCCTGCAATGTCAGCCACTAGTACCCTTCAGATATAGCATCCACATCAGCATCCACTCCTGCAATGTCAGCCACTAGAACCTTTCCTTCAGATATAGCATCTACATCAGCATCCACTCCTGCAATGTCAAATAACTAGTCCTCTTCCTTCAGATATAGCATCTACATCAGCATCCACTCCTGCAATGTCAGCCACTAGTACTCTTCCTTCAGATATAGCATCTACATCAGCATCCACTCCTGCAATGTCAGCGACCAGTATTCTTCCTTCAGATACATCAGCACTCTCATCAGCCACATCCACTCCTGCAATGTCAGCCACATAGTAACGTTCCTTCAGATATAGCATCTACATCAGCATCCACTCCTGCAATGTCAGCCACTAGTACCTCTTCCTTCAGATATAGCATCTACATCAGCATCCACCCTGCAATGTCAGCCACTAGTCCTCTTCCTTCAGATATAGCATCTACATCAGCATCCACTCCTGCAATGTCAGCCACTAGTACCGTTCCTTCAGATATAGCATCTCACATCAGCATCCACTCCTGCAATGTCAGCCAATAGTCCTCTTCCTTCAGATATAGCATCTACATCAGCATCCACTCCTGCAATGTCAGCCACTAGTAATCTTCCTTCAGATATAGCATCTACATCACCATCCACTCCTGCAATGTCAGCCACTAGTCCTCTTCCTTCAGATATAGCATCTACATCAGCATCCACCCTGCAATGTCAGCCACTAGTCCTCTTCCTTCAGATATAGCATCCACATCAGCATCCACCACTCTAAATCACCTTCCACTCCTGCAATGTCAGATATAGCATCTAGTCCTCCTGCAATGTCAGCCATTCAGATATAGCATCTACATCACCTTCCACTCCTGCAATGTCAGCCACTAGTCCTCTTCCTTCAGATATAGCATCTACATCAGCATCCACTCCTGCAATGTCAGCCACTAGTCCTCTTCCTTCAGATATAGCATCCACATCATCCACTCCCTTCAAATCAGCCACTAGTGTCAGCCACCAGTCCTTCAGATATAGCCCACATCACCTTCCACTCCTGCAATGTCAACCACTAGTCCTCTTCCTTCAGATATAGCATCTACATCAGCATCCACTCCTGCAATGTCAGCCACTAGTCCTCTTCCTTCCAGATATAGCATCCACATCAGCATCCACTCCTGCAATGTCAGCCACTAGTCCTCTTCCTTCAGATATAGCATCTACATCAGCATCCACTCCTGCAATGTCAACCACTAGTACTCTTCCTTCAGATATAGCATCCACATCAGCATCTACACCTGCAATGTCAGCCACTAGTACTGTTCATTCAGATATAGCATCTACATCACCTTCCACTCCTGCAATGTCAACCACTAGTCCTCTTCCTTCAGATATAGCATCTACATCAGCATCCACAATGTCAGCCTGCAATGTCACATCCACTAAATGTACTCTTCTTCCTTCAGATATAGCATCTACATCAGCATCCACTCCTGCAACAGTCAACCACTAGTACCTCTTTCCTTCAGATATAGCATCTACATCAGCATCCACTCCTGCAATGTCAACCACTAGTACTCTTCCTTCAGATATAGCATCCACATCAGCATCTACACCTGCAATGTCAGCCACTAGTACTGTTCATTCAGATATAGCATCCACATCAGCATCCATGCAATGTCAGCCACTAGTATTGCCTTCAGATATAGCATCTACATCAGCATCCACCCTGCAATGTCAGCCACTAGTATCTTCTTTCAGATATAGCTCTCATCAGATATAGCAAATGTCAGCCACCAGTATCAGATATAGCATCCACATCAGCATCCACTCCTGCAAATGTCAGCCACTAGTACTCTTTCTTCAGATATCAGCATCCTCTTCCTTCACATCAGCATCCACCCTGCAATGTCAACCACTAGTACTCTTCCTTCAGATATAGCATCCACATCAGCATCCCACCTTGCAATGTCAGCCACTAGTATTGTTCATTCAGATATAGCATCTAAATCACCTTCCACTCCTGCAATGTCAACCACTAGTACTCTTCCTTCAGATATAGCATCTACATCAGCATCCACTCCTGCAATGTCAGCCACTAGTACTCTTCCTTCAGATATAGCATCTACATCAGCATCCACTCCTGCAATGTCAGCCACTAGTACTCTTCCTTCAGATATAACCCACTCTTGCAATGTCATCCACTCCTGCAATGTCAACCACTAGTACTCTTCTTTCAGATATAGCATCTACATCAGCATCCACTCCTGCAATGTCAACCACTAATACTCTTCCTTCAGATATAGCATCTACATCAGCATCCACTCCTGCAATGTCAATGCCCACTAGTACTCTTCCTTCAGATATAGCATCTACATCAGCATCCACTCCTGCAATGTCAGCCACTAGTAGCCAATAGTAACTTCTTCTTTTCCAGATATAGCATCTACATCAGCATCCACTCCTGCAATGTCAACCACTAGTATAGCTCTTCCTTCAGATATAGCATCTACAGCATCCACTCCTGCAAATGTCAACCACTAATCCTCTTCCTTCAATATAGCATCACATCAGCATCCACTCCTGCAATGTCAATCACTAGTCCTTCCTTCAGATATATACATCTACATCACCTTCCACCCTGCAATATCAGCCACTAGTCCTCTTCCTTCAGATATAGCATCTACATCAGCATCCACTCCTGCAATGTCAGCCACTAGTCCTCTTCCTTCAGATATAGCATTCACATCCAGCATCCACTCTTGCAATGTCAGCCACTAGTACTGTTCCTTCAAATATAGCATCCACATCAGCATCCACACTACATCAGCATCCAAGCAATGTCAGCCACTAGTCCTCTTCCTTCAGATATAGCATCTACATCAGCATCCACTCTTCCACTCCTGCAATGTCCACATCAGCATCCACACTAGTCCTCTTCCTTCAGATATATAGCATCTACATCAGCATCCGTCCTCCCTGAATGTCACATCCATCCGCTAGTCCTCTTCCTTCAGATATAGCTTTCACATCAGCATCCACTCTTGCAATGTCAGCCACTAGTACTGTTCCTTCAAATATAGCATCCACATCAGATATATAGCTTCCACCCTGCAATGTCAGCCACCAGAACGTTTCCTTCAGATATAGCAACTAGATCAGCATCCACTTCTGCAATGTCAACAACTAGTAGTTTTCCTTCAGATATAGCATCTACATCAGCATCCACTCTTGCAATGTCAGCCACTAGTACTGTTTCAGCAGATAAAGCATCCGCGTCAGAATGCACTCCTGAAATGTCAGCCACTACTACTATTCCTTCTGATATACCATCCACGTCAGTATGCACTGCCGCAATGTCAGCCACTAGTACTGTTCCTTCTTATATAGCATCTAGATCAGCATCCACTCCTGCAATGTCAGCCATTAGTATTGTTCCTTCCGATATTGCATCTACATCAGCGTCCACTTCTGCAATGTAGCCAATAGTAACGTTCCTTCAGATACAGGATCAACATCAGCACCTACTTTTGCAATGTCAGCAACTACTACCCTTTCTTCAGATAAAGCATCTACATCAGCATCCACTCATGAAAAGTCAGACAATAGTATTCTTCCATCAGATATAGCATCTACATCAGCATCCATTCCCTGCAATGTCAGCCACTAGTACCGTTCCTTCAAATATAGCATCTACATCAGCATCCACTCCTGAAATGCCAGCGAATAATATTTTCCCTCAGATATTGCATCTACATCAGCATCCACTCCTGCAATGTCAGGCACTAGTCCACTTCCTTCAGATATAGCATCTACATCACCTTCCACTCCTGCAATGTCAGCCACTAGTCCTCTTCCTTCAGATATAGCATCTACATCAGCATCCACTCCTGCAATGTCAGCCACTAGTCCTCTTCCTTCAGATATAGCATTCACATCAGCATCCACTCTTGCAATGTCAGCCACTAGTACTGTTCCTTCAGATATAGCATCTACATCACCTTCCACTCCTGCAATGTCAGCCACTAGTCCTCTTCCTTCAGATATAGCATCTACATCACCTTCCACTCCTGCAATGTCAGCCACTAATCCTCTTCCTTCAGATATAGCATCTACATCACCTTCCACTCCTGCAATGTCAGCCACTAGTACTCTTCCTTCAGATACAGCATTCACATCAGCATCCACTCCTGCAATGTCAGCCACTAGTCCTCTTCCTTCAGATATAGCATCCACATCAGCATCCACTCTTACAATGTCAGCCACTAGTCCTCTTCCTTCAGATATAGCATCTACATCACCTTCCACTCCAGCAATGTCAGCCACTAGTCCTCTTCCTTCAGATATAGCATCTACATCAGCATCCACTCCTGTAATGTCAGCCACTAGTCCTCTTCCTTCAGATATAGCATCCACATCAGCATCCACTCCTGCAATGTCAGCCACTAGTCCTCTTCCTTCAGATATAGCATCTACATCACCTTCCACTCCTGCAATGTCAGCCACTAGTCCTCTTCCTTCAGATATAGCATCTACATCAGCATCCACTCCTGCAAATGTCAGCCACTAGTCCTCTTCCTTCAGATATAGCATTTCATCAGCATCCACTTTGCAATGTCAGCCACTAGTACTGTTCCTTCAAATATAGCATCCACATCAGCATCCACTCTTGCAATGTCAGCCACTAGTCCTCTTCCTTCAGATATAACATCTACATCACCTTCCACACCTGCAATGTCAGCCACTAGTCCTCTTCCTTCAGATATAGCATCTACATCACCTTCCTCTCCTGCAATGTCAGCCACTAGTACTCTTCCTTCAGATACAGCATTCACATCAGCATCCACTCCTGCAATGTCAGCCACTAGTCCTCTTCCTTCAGATATAGCATCCACATCAGCATCCACTCTTGCAATGTCAGCCACTAGTCCTCTTCCTTCAGATATAGCATCTACATCACCTTCCACTCCTGCAATGTCAGCCACTAGTCCTCTTCCTTCAGATATAGCATCTACATCAGCATCCGCTCCTGAATGTCAGCCACTAGTCCTCTTCCTTCAGATATAGCTTTCACATCAGCATCCACTCTTGCAATGTCAGCCACTAGTACTGTTCCTTCAAATATAGCATCCACATCAGCTTCCACTCCTGCAATGTCAGCCACCAGAACGTTTCAGATATAGCAACTAGATCAGCATCCACTTCTGCAATGTCAACAACTAGTAGTTTTCCTTCAGATATAGCATCTACATCAGCATCCACTCTTGCAATGTCAGCCACTAGTACTGTTTTTCAGCAGATATAGCATCCGCGTCAGAATGCACTCCTGAAATGTCAGCCACTACTACTATTCCTTCTGATATACCATCCACGTCAGTATGCACTGCCGCAATGTCAGCCACTAGTACTGTTCCTTCTTATATAGCATCTAGATCAGCATCCACTCCTGCAATGTCAGCCATTAGTATTGTTCCTTCCGATATTGCATCTACATCAGCGTCCACTTCTGCAATGTAGCCAATAGTAACGTTCCTTCAGATACAGGATCAACATCAGCACCTACTTTTGCAATGTCAGCAACTACTACCCTTTCTTCAGATAAAGCATCTACATCAGCATCCACTCATGAAAAGTCAGACAATAGTATTCTTCCATCAGATATAGCATCTACATCAGCATCCATTCCTGTAATGTCAGCCACTAGTACCGTTCCTTCAAATATAGCATCTACATCAGCATCCACTCCTGAAATGCCAGCGAATAATATTTTCCCTCAGATATTGCATCTACATCAGCATCCACTCCTGCAATGTCAGGCACTAGTCCTCTTCCTTCAGATATAGCATCTACATCACCTTCCACTCCTGCAATGTCAGCCACTAGTCCTCTTCCTTCAGATATAGCATCTACATCAGCATCCACTCCTGCAATGTCAGCCACTAGTCCTCTTCCTTCAGATATAGCATTCACATCAGCATCCACTCTTGCAATGTCAGCCACTAGTACTGTTCCTTCAGATATAGTATCCACATCAGCATCCACTCTTGCAATGTCAGCCACTAGTCCTCTTCCTTCAGATATAGCATCTACATCACCTTCCACTCCTGCAATGTCAGACACTAATCCTCTTCCTTCAGATATAGCATCTACATCACCTTCCACTCCTGCAATGTCAGCCACTAGTACTCTTCCTTCAGATACAGCATTCACATCAGCATCCACTCCTGCAATGTCAGCCACTAGTCCTCTTCCTTCAGATATAGCATCCACATCAGCATCCACTCTTACAATGTCAGCCACTAGTCCTCTTCCTTCAGATATAGCATCTACATCACCTTCCACTCCAGCAATGTCAGCCACTAGTCCTCTTCCTTCAGATATAGCATCTACATCAGCATCCACTCCTGTAATGTCAGCCACTAGTCCTCTTCCTTCAGATATAGCATCCACATCAGCATCCACTCCTGCAATGTCAGCCACTAGTCCTCTTCCTTCAGATATAGCATCTACATCACCTTCCACTCCTGCAATATCAGCCACTAGTCCTCTTCCTTCAGATATAGCATCTACATCAGCATCCACTCCTGCAATGTCAGCCACTAGTCCTCTTCCTTCAGATATAGCATTCACATCAGCATCCACTCTTGCAATGTCAGCCACTAGTACTGTTCCTTCAAATATAGCATCCACATCAGCATCCACTCTTGCAATGTCAGCCACTAGTCCTCTTCCTTCAGATATAACATCTACATCACCTTCCACTCCTGCAATGTCAGCCACTAGTCCTCTTCCTTCAGATATAGCATCTACATCACCTTCCTCTCCTGCAATGTCAGCCACTAGTACTCTTCCTTCAGATACAGCATTCACATCAGCATCCACTCCTGCAATGTCAGCCACTAGTCCTCTTCCTTCAGATATAGCATCCACATCAGCATCCACTCTTGCAATGTCAGCCACTAGTCCTCTTCCTTCAGATATAGCATCTACATCACCTTCCACTCCTGCAATGTCAGCCACTAGTCCTCTTCCTTCAGATATAGCATCTACATCAGCATCCACTCCTGCAATGTCAGCCACGAGTCCTCTTCCTTCAGATATAGCATCCACATCAGCATCCACTCCTGCAATGTCAGCCACTAGTCCACTTCCTTCAGATATAGCATCTACATCACCTTCCACTCCTGCAATATCAGCCACTAGTCCTCTTCCTTCAGATATAGCATCTACATCAGCATCCACTCCTGCAATGTCAGCCACTAGTCCTCTTCCTTCAGATATAGCATTCACATCAGCATCCACTCTTGCAATGTCAGCCACTAGTACTGTTCCTTCAAATATAGCATCCACATCAGCATCCACTCTTGCAATGTCAGCCACTAGTCCTCTTCCTTCAGATATAGCATCTACATCACCTTCCACTCCTGCAATGTCAGCCACTAGTCCTCTTCCTTCAGATATAGCATCTACATCAGCATCCGCTCCTGAATGTCAGCCACTAGTCCTCTTCCTTCAGATATAGCTTTCACATCAGCATCCACTCTTGCAATGTCAGCCACTAGTACTGTTCCTTCAAATATAGCATCCACATCAGCTTCCACTCCTGCAATGTCAGCCACCAGAACGTTTCCTTCAGATATAGCAACTAGATCAGCATCCACTTCTGCAATGTCAACAACTAGTAGTTTTCCTTCAGATATAGCATCTACATCAGCATCCACTCTTGCAATGTCAGCCACTAGTACTGTTTCAGCAGATATAGCATCCGCGTCAGAATGCACTCCTGAAATGTCAGCCACTACTACTCTTCCTTCTGATATACCATCCACGTCAGTATGCACTGCCGCAATGTCAGCCACTAGTACTGTTCCTTCTTATATAGCATCTAGATCAGCATCCACTCCTGCAATGTCAGCCATTAGTATTGTTCCTTCCGATATTGCATCTACATCAGCGTCCACTTCTGCAATGTAGCCAATAGTAACGTTCCTTCAGATACAGGATCAACATCAGCACCCACTTTTGCAATGTCAGCAACTACTACCCTTTCTTCAGATAAAGCATCTACATCAGCATCCACTCATGAAATGTCAGACAATAGTATTCTTCCATCAGATATAGCATCTACATCAGCATCCATTCCTGTAATGTCAGCCACTAGTACCGTTCCTTCAAATATAGCATCTACATCAGCATCCACTCCTGAAATGCCAGCGAATAATATTTTCCCTCAGATATTGCATCTACATCAGCATCCACTCCTGCAATGTCAGCCACCAGTACTTTTCCTTCAGATATTGCATCCACGTCAGCATCCACTCCTACAATGTCATCCACTGGTAGTGTTCCTTCAGATATTGCATCTACATCAGCGTCCACTAGTGCTGTTCCTTCACATATAGCATGCACATCTATATCTCTTCCTGCTACTAATCATCCAGTTTCAGAAGATATACAATCACTGCCTGTTGCTGCTGCTGCTTGTGGGGGTGACATTTTACAAAAAGAAATCCCCGAATTTGTAAAGTAGTTTACAATCAAAAAGCAGATCCGGGTCTATGAAACATTAATGATACTAACACAATAGATTAGTGGAGTCATCATGGACCCTCAGCATGTCAGAATCATGATAGCAACCTTTCAAACTCATGCAGATATAGATTGTAGAGCAGCATCTACTCCTGCAATGTCTGCAACTAGTACACCTCCTTGAGATATAGCATCTACATCAGCATCCACTCCTGCAATGTCAGCCACCATCACTTTTTCTTCAGATATAGCAACTAGATCAGCATCCATTCCTGCAATGTAAGATACTAGTAGATTCCACGTGCCATGTTTGATGGTGTAGAGAATATGAAAGCAGGGTATTTATCAAAGAATGCGTTCAGACCTGAACTACGGAATGACGAGGGTGTAAAACGTGAATAGCTACACTATTCACCATCCAAGATCGTTTGTATTGCTTTTTATGTCGACTATTGTCCTAGTAAGAATCTTCCTTTGCTACATCGAGGTTCAATGACTGAAAGCACAGCAATGTTATTGTAGATCATGGAAATGGAGAACTTCGAAAGTGCATGATAGCATATTTGATAAGTCAAAAGAAAAATGGAAGTGTAGATTCTTTATTAGTTGAGTAACATCGCAGGAATATTGGCATTTAAGTGTTGACACGTCTGGTTTCTGTAATCTTACCTCCAGACGTTTGCCATTTCGCGGAGAAAATCAAAATATTGGGTCAACAAAAATGGCAACTAATATTAGAGCTGTTGGGTGAATTCGAACCTTTCTTGGAAGAACATCTCAAAATGTATGGAAATCTTGGCAAAGAAAATCCGGCATATTTGTCTGCAAATATTTATGAAGAATATGTTGAATTAATGGAAAAATAGGTTCTTTGTATTATTCTTGAAGAAGTAAAAGCGACAAAGTATTAGTCACTAACTATAGATTCCACTCTAGACATCTCACACACAGATCAACTAACATTTACATTAAAAACTGTGAGCCTGTGAAACGTTTTTTGATGTTCATCCCCATGTTTTCTCATAGAGCAAAGGATCTAACAGACATTGCTATGGATTTTATTAATGCGAGCAAAATCCCACTGTTAAACTACCGTGATCAGTCATACGATAATGCCTCAAATATGTGTGAACAATATAGTAGATTGCATGCACGGATTCATCAGCATTTACCATCTGTGCTGGACACAGCCTTAATTTGGTGGGAATAAAAGCAGCAGAGTGTTGTCAACAGACTTTAAAATTCTTTAACTTTGTTTAGCAACTGTATTTATTTTTTGCTGGTTCTACTCATTGCGGGAATATATAGAGATCATATCAAGGAAAATATCTGGTGGTCGAGCGTCTGCCTGACACACATGGGAGTTTCAAGAAAATAAAACATGCACTGGATTATCTATCAGCTGATAATGAACAGCAAGTGAATCCAAGGCCACAGACAGAAGAATTGAACAAAAAATGGATAACCTGGAAATACTCTTTCTCATAATTCTTTGGAATATTCTAGAAAGGATGAACAAAACAAGCAAATATTTACATTAGTCTGACTATTGTCCTCATCTTTGTCGCCATATTTGTCCCAACGTTTCGGCCGTTGTATACTCCGGCCTTCTTCAGGTGGTTGGAATTTCGAACTGAACCCTTTATTTCGATCACTGGGGTAGACTGTTCTAGTTCCACGTGCCATGTTTGATAGATGTCAGTTATCAGTTATCTCCTGCTAACTTTCCCTCTGAAAGTTCTCCACTGCCTTAACCGGGTATTGAACTCACCTTCTTTGGGTCTGTCACTGGATCTAACCAACGCCTTTATCACAGACCCAAAGAAGGTGAGTTCAATACCCGGTTAAGACAGTGGAGATTTTGGAGAGGGGAATTAACAGGAGATGTCTGACACATTAAAGTGATGGGAAAAACGGGAACGAAAACGAATTGTGCGTCCTTATAGATATGATCGATCATCCGAAAACGTCGTCGTCGGCATCCGTCCGTCTCGAAAGACGATGGAGTAGCGCGGTGCGCTATGAGCCTGGGTGGGATATATGGAGAACGAGAGTTGCCCAGACGTCTAGTTCCCCTCTCTCGGCCTTGCTAGCAGAGTCCAAAGGAGAGGATAAATCAATACAGTTTGGTACCAACGCGGCTGCAAGAGTTGCCGGAAGGTAGCACAAAGTACCGTCCATCCGCCTTAGGGGCTCCACTCCGGGTTTGAATTCAGAGTTGTCCTTCTCCTAGGTGGAGGGAGAAGAAGAGGATTCATACCTTTCCCAAGGGTATTAACACGTAAGTGAATGTAATGGATTCGACTGGAATTCGAACTCGGCTCTCCGATTCCTCAATCCAAGCCGCTATCCATTACTTCAAAGTGCTTCCTCATCAGAAAACGTAGTTATTAGTAAAACCGAAAAGTTAAAGGTGGAAAATTTTCTCTCTATTCAAGACACTCTAATCTTTAAATTGACAAAACATGCAGAGACTTAGTCACAAATTGGAAATCTGTTTTCTTTCTTTAGTTAATTGAAAACCATTGTTTCTGGTGCACTAAAGAAAATGTGTGGACAACTGGACCTGAATTATGATGACCTTTTAAATGAATGTGAGCATCTCAAGTACTACATGGATCTTGATGAAAATTGTGAAACTCTCCCTGCACTAAAAAGAAAAATAATTTTGGACAATTTTAAATCTGCATTCCCTAATGTTGAAATTATAATCAGTGTGCAATGTGCATGAAGGGAGAATGTTAGAGAATTTAAGCTCTAAATTTATTATAGATGTCGTTCTTATTTTCTGATCGTGTCATGTATGGACTACAATATCTATAAAATTCGGTAAGTTCTTACACATACAAAAACAATTCAACATTCTTTAAAAAATATTCGGGATGTCAAATTGTTATAAGATTTACGATATATGATTAGTAAATATAGTCTTACTTAACAATCTTTCCTAAGTGATACACCATTGAAACTGAATTTTAAATAGATACCTCCACTTTTTCGCGGGAAAACAGCATAGCGTAATGGAAAAAGGTCACAAATTTAATAAAAATAAAGGATTATCGCCAAAATGTTTATGTTGTTATTAGGATCAAAGACCAAATATTTTTTTTATTTATTCGTTGAATTTTAACAATCCTCTCTAAAACGTTCGAAATTTTAATTAATATCTTGTTTTGTTTACGTCATCGAGGTAGCATAATAATAACATTGACTTTTTGAGTTTTTTTTTTCCGTTGAAAACACATTGATTTGGAAATTCTTGTAAAAACCAAATAATTGTCCGATTTTTGATTTTAAATTTTCAGGACTTATTCACAAAATGAATGAAATTATTTTTGAAAGTTTTTTTAGAGAATTTCGGTAAATAATATTTTTTTTACATATGTGCTCCTCCACACTTAATTTCATGAAATTTTGCAAAAAAAAAACCTTTCTATTTTCTGAATTATTTTTATTCGTTAAAAGTAGGACTCCTTGGAGAATCTAAATCGCGTAATCTTTTTTTTTTTTTTTTTTAAAACTTGCGCTATTCTAACTGAAAATCTGCTCTGAATTGAAAAATAATGAATGCAATAAAACTATGATATTATTTAATTAGAAAAGCTTTTAATTGCGTTTGTAAATAAGTTATATTAAGAACATAATTGTCTGAGGAAATAAAAATTTTTTGAAGAATAATGAATTTTTACAAGAATTTTTCATATTTTTAAAAATCTTAATTATAATAATTTATAACAGTTTAAAATCGTGTAAAATTCTGAATTGGTCTATTTCCTGGATGCGATATAGTAATTAAGTGGAAACGGAATTTACTAATACAAAATTGAACAGATTAGTAAACGTAGTTACACTATTCTATTTTTAAAATATTTTTTTATTTCTTACTTTTTTACTTAATTTCTTCCCTATTTTCATCTATGAAAGTCTGTAAAGTCTATGAAACGGTCACGTGATCAAAGAATTTTGTCTCTTTACAGAGAAATTAATTTAAGA